AATTACCGATGGATCACAGACATTATGGGTTTTTAACTCTAGAATTACCGATGGATCACAGACATTATGGGTTTTTAACTCTAGAATTATCGATGGATCACAGACATTATGGGTTTTTAACTCTAGAATTACCGATGGATCACAGACATTATGGATTTTTACTCTAGAATTACCGATGGGTCACAGACATTTTGGGTTTTTAACTCTAGAATTACCGATGGATCACAGACATTATGGATTTTAACTCTAGAATTACCGATGGATCACAGACATTATGGATTTTTTACTCTAGAATTACCGATGGGTCACAGACATTATGGGTTTTTAACTCTAGAATTACCGATGGGTCACAGACATCATGGGTTTTCTAAATTATTTATGCACCAAATTACTTTAGGGTCCACGGCTTTGTTAGTTATAGGATTCTTAGTAACATAAGATCCTTACAAAAAAAAATTAACAAAATGTAAGTGATTTTTCACACAATTTTCTGACTATTTCTTTTGACTAACTCGTATGAAAATATAAGATCGCTTAACATGAATCAAGATCTGGACCCCTACCGGTAGTGAGCGGTATAAAAACGAGTCAGCAATTTGAGAGTTAAACATCTCAGTAAGTCGTAGAGAAACATAAACTGTTGAAATTTTGTGTGATGCTATGAAAAAAAAAAACAACTAATTATATTTCAATTGCTCATAGAATGTGTATTTAACCGAGTACTAATATGGTATCGCTCAAGTTAACAAGTCCTTACCGCCTTCTACATTTTGTATCTATGGCAAAGCTATTGAGGCTGTTTGCCATCGTCCCTAATTTTGAACTATTGACCAGATGGAAGGCAACAGATCGGCATCGCCGTACAATCCGCGTTAAGGGACTGACTGTAATTCTTATAACGCTTAAATTCTCAGCTTAAATTGCGGGGAATATTTTGTGGTATCGCACGGATTCGAACCCGGGTCGCCAGCTGCGAAATCTATAGCTCTACCACGAGACCGCAACAAGGAATATTTGAAGTTCCAGATGTCAAAAAAAAAATATTGCCATGATAACACATAAGGCTTTTGGTTTTAAGAGCCTACTTCAAATTATTAATGGAAGGACCGAGCGTGGCCTAGACAATAACGTGTCCAGAATATGAATCCAATGGCTCATGGCTAGCACCTTATTATGACAGAAAAATACGCTCCGCACTGCAGGACCATTGGTTACGGTAAAATGTTCTTATTCAGTCAGAAAAAGGCATTCCGAGAGTTGGCGGCGAGTGATGTTAACTAACTTCATTCCCGTACTCTGGGGACAGATAGGAACAGAAAAAATCCAAAAACAAACTAGCTGAGAAATATATATATAAATTATTTTACATCGTAAAAGTAGGGCAAAAAGTCGTCGACTCTTACAATGGGATTGTACTACAGACAAAGCGTGTCGGTTTATTTTTAGTTTTTATCCTTGCACCCCATGTTCTGGTGCATTTTAGACGCTCCTTTCAGTAGTGTCGTGATGTAATATTTATTATTATTTTAGGTAGAAATAGCTCATTTATGTCTTGATACATTCGGAGGTAGGTTATGTAAATTCGTGCACTCATTTTCCAGGGCAGCCACCCTAGGGTGAACGCTCATCTCTATATTTGAATGACGTGTTTATTTCATGACCTACATAATACTTCATTCTTTACTTGTTTTAGTAAACTGGCAACATGACGAGGTAACGGAATGACAGAGATTATGTGTGAAAAATTATATATATATATTTTTTAAATATCATATCGAAATCTGTTGATGTTTGACAGTTAAGATTATTGGTTTATAATTATCAGCATGACTCGGCTCACGTACAGTTTTTTTGTAATCGGTTTCTCTGTTATAATTTAAAACAAATATCAACACAGACACGTGCCAGGTAGCTATCCCAGTCGTTACAGAATTGTTCTTTACATTCTAGTCACGTGACTCAATATTGTTGTTTACATTCTAGTCACATGACTATTATTTTCGAATATAGTCATGTGACTATGTATTAATCTTTAAGTCTAGTCACGTGAGTCGGTGTTGTTGTTTACAATGCAGTCACGTGACTGACTATTGTTGTCTACAGTCTAACCACGTAATTCGGTATTGTTGTCTGCAGTCTAACCACGTAGCTCGGTATTGTTGTATACAGTCTATTCACGTGACTCGGTATTGTTGTCTGCAGTCTAGTTACGTGACTCGGTATTGTTGTCTACAGTCTAGTCACATGACTCGGTATTGTTGTCTACAGTCTAGTCA